CCGCAGAACCTGTATTTCCTCTCGAGCAGTTGTGGATTGATACCTGAAGGCGAGGTGAAATGAATTCAGGTTTTGGAATCAGAATCCTGGATTCCAGTGCTTTACGGGCTGTGCCACTGAGTCGTGGCATTACTCTGGACAAGGCAATTTACCTCCCTATGACTCTGTTTCCTAGTTCCTAAAATGCGTATGCAAGTATCCAGCACAGCGCTGTACAGCAGAAATATTCTAGTCACATGTAACTTAATTTTTTTGTAGCCACTTTAATAAAGCAAAAAGCAGATGAAATCAATCTTAGTAAACTCAGTGTATACGAAGTATTTCAACATGTAATCAGTATAAAACATTGAGATATTTTGCGTTTTTTAGTATTGTTTTCAAAATCTGGTATTTCACAGTTTTAGCACATTTCGATTTGGCCTAGTCGTATTTCAAGCGCTCAGTAACCACCTGTGGCTGTTTGGACAGAGAAGATCTACACTGTAGGCTTGTCTTGAGGGATATAGAGAGCAAGACGCCCAGTAGAGGGCCTGTTGCGCAGTACGCTTTTCAAAAAAAAAAAAATCTTCATTCGCTTTCCAGCTTTGGAGATGATATTAGGCAGAGTAATTTCTCTCAAGAAAGTATACTATCCAGTCAGGGGATCCACACAAGTAAATAGTTACAACATTGATAGATTTTCTGATAAAGAGGAGGTCAGGGTGCATGGGTTAACAGGCTGGGGAGACAGCTTCTCAGTGGAGGTGGTGAATTGTGCTGGGTCTTAATGAGCAGGAGTTAACTAGGGTGGGGGGGGAGCAGAGAGCAACACTCAAGTTGTTCTGTGGCACGAGGATATAATTTGTTATATTTGTAAAGTATCGGGGAGCTCAGAATTGGAGTATGGGTGTGTGTGCATGGAGGGGTGAAGGAGTGGTAGAGAATGAAGCTGGGGTGTGGGAAGCCCCCTTGAAAAGCCTAAGACAGGGAAGGCCTTTGATTTTATCATTTAGACCAGTGTTTGCCACAATTCATGCTAACTAGTCCTGTTAGATGTTCCGTGAAGATGCTTCTCCAGTCAGGTTATGTAAAAAAAAAAAAAAAAAAACCTCTTTTCTTCGACTCCCGCTGAAAAGTCTTAACACTTGTCAACATATTAAGAATATATTCGATAAGAATAAGAACCACTAAAAAAAAAAAACCTGTTTGCTTTTGTTTCTCATTAGGTTTTTATGGATAGCGTCCCTTAAAACTCAGCAGAACAGATATTTCTCAAAGGCAAACTATGAAACACCGAGTCTGGCTTTGGATATGGAGAGTCTGAGGCACCTGTGAAACATCCAGGCACAGAGTAGTCTCAGTTGGCGATAGATTTAGGGGCTAAGTTTGAGTGGTAGAGAAAACCAAGTGTGGATGAGCTCTCCTAGGTAGGGCACATAGAGGGGAGAGGGAGCTTTTTGGAACTTTCTTGAGTTTATCTCTAATTCAGAAAAAGTAGAGCGTAGGCCCATAGGTAACTGAAGCCGAGGAAGAGGGGCTTTGCCAGAGTCACACAGTGGGATGTGTGTCAAGGCTATGATTTCATCATTGGAATTTCTATGTCCGTTTCTTCTTACCTCTCCCATTGGTCTGTGGCTTCCATTATCAGTGGAGCCACGGTGGTGAAGGTTCTCTACGCTTAAAAAACTTCAGCTTTTGCATAAAAGTGAACATGGATTAAGGATCTTCGCTGTGCTAGGCATTGCGTTGGATGCTTCCTCATAACAGACCTTTGAGGAGGCCACTATTAGCCCCAGTTTACAGATGAGAAAACTGAGGCTCAGAGAGAAGTAGCTTGCTCAAGGTCTCATAGAGGGGAGGCTGGTTAGAATAGGCCAGATGAAAGAGGGCTGGGAGTTGTGGGAAGAGGTCTTGGTAGGATGCAAGAGATTGGAAATGAGGTATTAATATTTAGTGGTTCTTAAATAAATGTTAAAACCTGGAATTCAGAACACTTAAGCAGATAAAAGGCTGACTGTGCCTTTGTCCACCTGGTTGCGGATCCACCAAGTAGTTATTGAAGAGTACTGGGCAGGGGTGATGAAGTTGGCTGGCCTTTGACCCAAGGGCCCTGTCCTTTCTACTCAGCCGACTTGGAGCTACAGGAGGTCGAAGACTTCCTTGGGGAGCTGATGACCAACGAGTTTGATACAGTTGTGGAAGACGGGAGTCTGCCCCAGGTGAGCTTATCAGGGCACAGCCGCCATCTCCCTACCTGCAGTCTGTCTTCTCCCCAGCTATTTCAGGCACAGACTCTTAGCTGTGAATCTCTGTTGCCTGGAGGAAAAAGCGTGGCTTTCCCCAACCCTGCCTGCCTTCTTTTCTTTCTTTCTGTACATCATTCCCATCTAGGCCTGTTCCTCACCCCCATCCCAAGGGCAGGTCAGGCCAGTCCAGGTCCATTTTCACCCCCGCTGTGTTTACCATTGTTCTCCAATAAGATTACTTTTCCTTTTACATCTTCCTTCTTTCGAAGCCCAGTTCTAGAGCCTTCCCTACTAGTTAGGCCCTGTTTTGATGCTTCAGGCCCTCACTTCAGCCCTTCATATGTGGCAGCTTCATTGGTTAATTCCTTGGGGAGGAAAGAGCCCCATTCTCTTCTGGAAAATTCCAACCTACTCCCCTCTGTTGCTTCAGACACGGGCTGTTTGTATAGTAGATTCTATACAAACTGGTTGAATGTTTTCTTGGTAGGTGAGTCAGCAACTGCGGACCATGTTCCACGACTTCCAGAGGGGCGATGGGGCTGCTCTGCGAGAGATGACCTCCCGGATTACTCAGAGAAAATGCAAGGTCACAGCCACCGCACTTAAGGCAGCTAGAGAGACTGACGAGGATGAAGATGATGCGGACAGTGTGGAAGAGATGGAGGTGAAGTGGGTGCCCGTGGGTTGGGGGGATACGGATGTTTTCAATTTTCTGGGAGAGCAGCTAGATTCACCAGGAAGTGATAAGGGGATAGTAGTGGTTGGCGGTAGTGGTATTATCCAGAGAGGGCAGGGGACCTTCCTCAAGTCACACAGCCAATCCTGGAAAAGCTGGAGCAGAGCCTGGGTCACCAATGGTCAGTGTATTCAGCTCTCTTTTCTGTCTCCCCTCCAGGTCACAGCTACAAATGATGGGGCTGCTACCGATGGGGTCTGCCCCCAGCCTGAACCCTCCGATCCAGAGGCTCAGACTATTAAGGAAGAGGATATAGTGGAAGATGGCTGGACCATTGTCCGGAGAAAAAAATGACTGGCGCTGCTGGAAATGGCTTTGGGCCCTTGCTTGCTAGCTCTGAGAGTCATTTGTAGGGTTTCTTTTTTTGAGGACTGCAGACCTGTGGACTGGTTACCCCATTCCCACCCTGTCCACTGTTCCCCTGTCTAGCTCCCTCCAAGGGAAGGAAAACCTAGGGTCCTTGGTCTTGGTGGTGGGGGGACCTGGTCCAGCACATTCCCTTGGGCCTTTAGTTAACATCCAAGTGACGAGGCCAGGTTCCCCAGTACAGTGTCTTTCCGGAAGATGGGGATGAGTGAGTGTGGGTGTAGCTGGGGGAGGAGCTAGATGCCGGCGGACAGTGGGCAGCAGGTGGATTTGGGGAGGAGAGGACCAGCAGCAGCAGCACTCAGTGATACGGGGCTGGCTGGGTCAGCAATGGTGAGATGAACATGCAGGTGGAAGAGAGAATAGTTGAAGACGTGACGGAGAATAGCTCTGGAGCCTCTCGCTTACCCCACCCCACGCACTCGCAACAGCTCTGTACCCCTGCCCAGAACTTGCAACCTCCCAGGAATGCTCCCTTCCTTTAGCCCAGCCTCCAGCCCTGGGTTCCCTCAGGAATTCGAAGACTTTGGCTAGGTGGTAAGCTTGGAAGAGCTGGGCTTTGTTTTCTGTCTCTTCTAACCTCTTTCCTCCTTATCCCATCCCATTTGAGTTCAGGGGTAAGGGTTAAGATCTTAATAAATAATACCTTACTGTTTAATCTGTGGCTTGACCTATGAGTAGTAGCCTTAGAATCCGCCTTCTGGGAACTGAGCTTCAGCGTTTACAAGGGAGCGGTTTCTGGGCCCACGCTAGCAGCCTGGTACTTTGGACGACCAAACGTGGACGGACGGAGCACAGCAGTGCTACGAAAGTTACTGTAAGCCTGAAATAAACTGTATTTTTCTTTAAAAAAAAAAAAAAGTATCCATTGTCCTCCCCCCGTTCCCCTGTCCTGCCCGGTGGCCCTGCCATGGGTCTGGACGATAAAATACTGGGTAGCCTTGGGGCCGGGTAGAAGCTGTAAGCCATGGGAGAGGCAGGAGAGGTCTAGTTGCCACCCCCACGTGAAGTCGAATGTGTGAAGACACTGGCTGAGGAGGCAGGGGTGGGTTGGGGCCCCAGGGTAAGTGGCAGAGCTGGCACTTGAATCCAAATCTACCTCTGGTGCTTTGTGGGAATTGGGTAGAGGCAGGATCTGTGGTAGGGTATTGGGGGATGAGGGGGAAAAAAACGACCTAATTCAGGTGAGTCTAGCAACGGCTCCCACCCTGCCTGGGGACAGGGATTAATAAAAATTAACATCACTGTAGGAATATATTTTTTAAAAGCCCACGTTTTGTGAAAAGATTAATTAAAAAACCCAAGACCCAGCATTCGGGATTGAAAGTGCCCGTGATGGGAGTTCAAGTATTGACTGAGCTGGGAGGGAAGGGGCTGGAGCCCCCAATCAGACATGGGCAGCTAGAGTGTGGGGTGGGGGCTCCCAGTTTGCCCTAAACCCTCTAGGTCTTATCTCGGGTCTGGGGGGATTCGGGGGGTTCAGCAGTGGCTCCTAAAGCGGCCACTGGTGCCTCCTCCATCTCCCTGTCCTCAGACAATGTGGGCCCCGGGCAGAATGTGTCCCCACGGCCTGCCCGACCAAGCACAGCCATCCAGCGTCGCTGTAGTTCCTCTGTCTCAGGGCTGAAGTACCAGCTGAGGTGGCTTTGCGTGATCTTGAAGACGTGCCTTCTGTCAGGCCGCTCCCCTGCCTCGGGTGGTCCCACCTCAAAGCCAATGAGGGGCAGGCTGCGCTGGGCTTTCACATCCTGGGGGGAGGAGGGACAGAGCTGGGGCCACCGTGGGGCTAGACCTTTCCCCCTGCCCCAGCTTCTAGCTGGTTTGCATATGCTGTGTCTTCTTTCTCCTGCTGAGGAACCTTCTGTGGCTCCAGTGTTATCAACAGGAACATGTCACAACTGGGGCTAAAACGTAGGCTGGTTTAAATACCTGTCTCCTCTCATTCCACAAAACTGCTGGGCTAGTCTGTTTAGCCTACCAAATGTTTTCAGGCCTTTGTCTATGCTATTGCCCCTATCTGCATACTTTTTTTTTTTTTTTTTTTTTTTGAGACAGAGTCTTGTTCTGTTGCCCAGGCTGGAGTGCAGAGCCACAAATGTGGCTAACTGAAACCTCCACCTCCCAGGTTCAAGCAATTCTCCTGCCTCAGCTTCCTGAGTAGCTGGGACTACAGGCACATGCCACCACGCCAGGCTACTTTTTGTATTTTTAGTAGAGACGGGATTTCACCATGTTGGCTAGGCTGGTCTCAAACTCTTGACCTCAGGTGATCCAGCCTCTCAGAGTGCTGGGATTACAGGCATGAGCCACTGTGCTCGGCCCCATCTGGATACTCTTACCCACTCCAAATTGGACCTAGAAGTTCCCCATCTCCACTCCTTCCAGGAAGCCAGGCTCACAACTCATCCTGGTTTGTGTTTTTTTTTTTGTTTGTTTTTTTTTTGAGACAGAGTCTTGCTCTGTCGCCAGGTGCCACGCTGGAGTGCAGTGGTGCGATCTCAGCTCACTGCAACCTCCTCCTCCCGGGTTCAAGCAATTCTCCTGCCTCAGCCTCCCCAGTAGCTGGGACTACAGGCGTATGCCACCACGCCCACCTAATTTTTGTATTTTTAGTGGAGACGGGGTTTCACCACGTTGACCAGGATGGTCTCAATCTCTTGACCTTGTGATCCACCCGCCTCGGCCTCCCAAAGTGCTGGGATTACAGGCGTGAGCCACAGCGCCCGGCCCATTCTGTTTTTCCCTACATACCTTGGCCCACAACCACTCCTTGTCTCTAGCCAGTCTTCGTCTCTCAAGGGTTGGGGTTCTGAGTTCCTCATAGAGATGGGCTCACCTTATCCTCCAAGGCCAAGGAGAGGTCAAGGACTGGCGGTAAGGGGATAACCTGGCTTTGCCAGGTGGCTGAAAGGACCCGACAGAGTAGGATGCACACCTGAGGGGCTCCGTAGATATACAGCACCAAGGGTTCATTTTCAGGGACCACGAACCATGCCTTGTGCCATCCTTTGCCACCCTTCTCCATGTAGTGCAGGAAGCTGCAGATGACACTGTTCTCCGCAGCCACCGAGGCCTGTTTCTGTGGCCAGAGACACAGGAAGCATCAATGTTGACAGAGGGCGTAGCCTGGCTCCTCTTGGCTTTAACGCTCCCTCAGTATAGGGACTCCTATTCCCGTCTCAGATGAAGATGTTCAAGCTCAGGTGCAGGAGTGATTTGTGTAGTGCTACCCGGGGAATCAGCTAGAGCTGAGATTCAAAGCTAGATCTGTCTGCCTGATTTGAGCAACCGCTGCTGCCTCTACAGGCCAGTGGAAGGAGTGTGCGGATCTCAGCAGGGGCATCTAAAATGCCAGTCAGGCATTCTTTCTTCAGTCAGGGCTTTCATTCCTCAAGCCATTCACACATTTATGCCTCACGTTTTTTTCTGTCGTTCATCACACATCCATTTCCTACACTCAGTGAGAGGTAATCTAGCATTGTGGTTTTAAGGGAGTCTGTGGGTGGTTAATGAAGTCTGGCTTAGAGTCCCAGCTCTAGATGAAAATGCATCGACTTGGAGGGAGAGCAAATAGGGCTGATGTGATAATTAAATGAATTAATAAATGCAAAGTGCTTAGAATAGTTCCTGGCACAAAGTAAGTACTCTTTTAAGTGTTAATACCTACATTTGTTTTTAAAAAACTCCAAAATTGAGTATGAATTCTCCCTAATGTAAAAAAAAAACCAACTCCAAAATGTATGTATGTGCATATATGCCTAGAAAGATAGGATAAGCCGTAACAGTGGTAACTTCTGGGTAATTTAAAAAATCTAGTTCTGCCACTCATTTGCTGTGTGACTTGGGCAAATGACCTCCCTGGGCCTCAGTTTCCTCATTTGTAAAATAAGGGAAACAATAGCATGGGCAGATTGGTTACCCTGGGATTAAATGTCTAAGTATTAAAGATGACTGTCTTTCACTCACTCTTGCCCTCATTCTACTCACTCCAAGCCTGGGTCCCGTGAGCACTACTGTTTCCCAGATGCCCGAGCCTCCTCAATCTCACTGGGTAGAGTTGCAGCCCATTTGCCCACTGTGGGAGAGTTAGTCAGGGGCGTGGCTCTTACCTCCAGGATGGACCTCCGGCGCTGGGGTGTATGCTGGCTGCAGGCTGGACTGCTCCCAGGCACCCCGTGCAAGGCCACATAGCAATCAGTGCACACACGGTTGGAGCGGTTGTTGTCATAGACGAGGCGGGCCCGGAACTCGGAGCACTTCCCACAAACCACCTGGGGTGGCAAGTGGGCAAGAGCAGCCTGATTCCAGCGGGTCTTCCCTTCAGCAGACTGCAGCCTCCCCCCGCTTGGAGGGTACCCACTCTGCGGCAGGCCTTTGGGCTGCCAGGCTGTCCCCTCCCTAGCTCTGCCCCTGCCTCCCAACACTCACATGCCCGCAGGCCTTGCAGTGGTGCCTGCGTTTGGTGATAGAATTGAAGGGCTCCTGGCAGCGCATGCACATGGTGACTTCCTTTTCCCGGATGGGAGTAGGTGCCCGCTTCCCAAGATCCACATTCTGTGGGGAGGGCCAGGTCTCAGGTCAGAGACAGGCACTCCCCAACCCAGTCCAGCCAGCCCTTGTCCCTGCTCCAAGGCTTGCATTACCATGGGGTGGGGATGGGGTGGGGTTAAGGGGAGCAGCCATATTCAGAAGACCTGCCTTTAACTCTTGGCTTTGCTCCTAGCTACTGTGCTACTGAAGACAAGTCACTTCTAGTACATTTTCTGGGTCTTGGTTTCCCCAATGACTTCTCTGTGGCCCTACCAAGGAAGGATTGCTTCTGAGGTCGTGCATTGCCTCCCTGGTCATTACTCACTGGGAAGGGGAAAGGATCATCTCAAGGTCAGGTGGGGACTTGGAAGTCTGGAAGGGGTCCCAGTGCAGGGGAAAGAGGGTGGGGACTCTTACCGGAGAGTTGGGCGGGGTGTCTTCATCTTCCCTGTTTGTTGAGTTCAACAGTTTGAAGGTCTCCAGCGTCTGTTCATGCTTCAGGAGGGTGGAGTTGATGGCCTGGGGAGGGGGTGTAAGAAATGAGAAGTCAGATCACCCCACAAACCACCCATTTCTACCCTCGCCTCACCTTCCTACACCGTAGCCTGAAGTTAGAAAAGCTGGGTTTCAGACCCAGCTCTGTCGCTGGTAGGTGGATGACCTTGAATAAATCCCCTCCCAAATCCAGGTCTCAGTGAATAAATCCCCTCCCAAATCCAGGAGGAGGGGGAGTGGTGGCTGAAAAACCTCAGGTGGCTTTCCTGGCCACCTTCTGGGCTTAAGATTTTACAGAGCTTGACACTTTCACCTTATACACCCTCAGAGAAACCAGCTTCCTAAAAGAGTTTGTGAGTTTCTGCTCAACCTCTGCACCTCAGTTTGCTTATCTGTAAAATGGGGATGGTAAAGTTTGTTGAAAGATAGGGGTCTGGGACCATTCTGGTTAGAGGTGAGTTTTGAGGGAGAATCCAGCAACCCCTAAGAGACCTGTTAATACTCTTCTAGCCCTCTACCACAAAGCCTTGGATGTTACCTGGACCCAGTCTTTCTTCTCCTCCTCAGTCCTTGGGGTGGGGAATAAAAAAGAAAGATACTTGGTTAGGCAGGCCCACAAACGCAATCGGAGTG